GTTAAAATTACTCCCAGCAGTTTTGGCTCTCCATTCATCGGCAGCTATGGATTAACTAAATTGTATCAGATAAAATGATGATATTCCAAGGGGAGTTGTGGCTTAGACTGGTTTAACTTCAAAATTCAAATTCAATTCAAATTCAAATTTTATTTGTCACATGCACAGTCATACACAGTACGATATGCACTGAAATGCTTATCGTACTGTGTATGACTGTGTATGTGACAAATAAAATTTGAATTTGAATTGAAACTTAGACACGTACGTCCCGGTAAAAACTAAACCAGCTGGACATTGGCCTGAGGACACACCTTTACAATCTCATAACACTGCTCTGACAGAGGGCGAGTTGCGCAGTTGTGGCTGTCTTAAGTAAGCGACGCCGCTGCAAGAGCAGCGCAGTTTTTGACGCTCCTGAATGTATCAGTGTTATGAGAGCCCTTTTGTAAGCTACATAACCTCACTGGTAGTTCGCGTAGCAGGTGTGCGGGTTTCATAAGCGTTTAAACTGGCAGCAAAGTAAGGACGTAAAAGCTTCTCTTCAGGCTGTATTTTTTTTTTCAAAAGACAACCCGCTGTCTGCTTGTGAGTTTGCACTGGCAGACACACAATGTTTCCAGCTAGCAGATACTCATGCCAAGGTACGTCAGCTAATAGCCGGTTAGCTAACACATTTCGAGCTTGTACTGTTTGACGTTAGATACCGCTGTTGGATTTCACCAGCATTTTTTTTTTTTTTACTCTAGCATTTAGTACGTAATTAAGTCGTGAATATGTTTTCCTTGTTGTTAAATGCGTTTAGCAATTATTTTTACAAATGCTAAGCTTAGCATTAGCCCAAACAGCCTAGCACCCTCTCCTGTGTTAGCGTAAAGCTAATAAGTAGGTTAAAGTTGAACTAGTATATAGGTCAGTTGAAATGAGTCCTAGGCCTAAGAAACATTCACTGTTACGACTTTTCAGAGGTTAGGTACTTATTTTAAGGTCCCGTCATTGTTTTGAAACTTAACAAGCTGTTTATCAACGGGAGACCGATGATAAATCGCAGTCTATCTTTGCAGCAGTTAAAGAGTAGCTCTGCAAGCTTGGCACTTAGAAGTGCAGCAGCTGCGCAGGGTAATTACTTCATGATCTAATTGTTGACGTGTTTTGTTTCACAAGTCCTTTGACTACATAAGAGGACTTATGAACCTGCCTAAACCCATAGGCTTTGACTATTTGTGCTGGTTGAAAGTCTTTTAATTTGTGTCTTTTCTTTTTTGTAACCCACGCAGGCTGAAAGCAGTCAAGTTAGAACAGTATTTTTGTTCACGTTGCCACCAGCCGAAACTGGTCTTGACTTGCAGCTGTTTTCTGTCTTGCAGCCCACAGATGTGCCAGGTTATTACATAAAATAAAAACAGAGCATGCTACCCCTCAGCTCTACACAACACTACACAGAAGGCCATGCTCTACAGTGTCAACACCCCGCATTACCACACACTACACCATCCATCCTCGAGATAATGATCCAAGATGGGAAGGTAAGCAACTTTGTTATAAGTTAATTAAGAAGTTAGAATCATGTGATTAATTACTTAGTTAGAAAATAATTTTTTAAACACCTTCTGCCCGCTGTATGGAGTCTGGTTTTTGCAAGAGTCACAGAATTGTGCCTGCCCCCAACCCCCAAGCTAAATGCTATTGAGTTATATGCTCCTGATGAATCATTATTTTCAATCCATGTATTCAATACATTCAATCCACTGTACCCTCATCCTACCTTTGACACAAATAAAGACTGAAATACTGGGTAGAAATCTTTTGTACAGCTTTCAAATGAAACTGCATACGTACTTGTCAAAATCCATTTTCAGCTTTTTCTCCTAGTGTGTTTCCACATCGGCAATCAGTTTTAGAAGCATTATCTTTTTTAATAGCCCTTTTCCACTAGTACTAGTACCTACTAGAGATAGACCGATCCGATACATATCGGTACTGATACTGACCTAAATTACGATACTGACCTAAATTACTGGATCGGATATTGGAGAGAAATAAAAAAATGTAATCCGATCCATTAAATATCACGAAAGCACCTCACAAAACTTGCGACATGGCGTAACTCAACTCATAACCTTAGCACGTCGGAGCAGTATGCGTAACGTGATAGAGCGGCTGTGGCGTGCGTGACCTCTCGGCGGTCTGGTTGAGCATTTGGAGCCTCGCTACCAAAGCGGCATTTCATCTCAGAGAAAGTTATCCCAGAGAGAAGTAAAGCAAGTGTGTAAGTTCATCTCTGAATGTTTGTAAAGCATTCCCACGTTAAGCTTAACAACCGATATATGGAGCGACTGCCTCTTCTCTCTCCCTCCCTCTTCTATTGCTACTTCAATCATGAAACTGATCAATAATCGGCTGATCGGCTTTTCTGTCGCAACTCTCGTCTCTCTTGTTTGTTTTTGGCCTGCTTTTTTTTCACACTGCATCAAATTAAAGTTGATTATGTCGATTAAGCATCATGAGGTGGAGGTGGGGGTGGTTCCCTATTTTTTTTTCCTGGGAGTTGGCAACCCTATTAGTTACGTTGCTTAATATTTCCGCTTAGTACTCTTTAAAATACCAGGATAGGGAGGATGGTGTAGGTTTAAGTTTTTTAGATTGATCAGTATTGCTGAACTATGAAATATTTTGGGTGCAGTGTATTTTTTTTGCATACAGGTATAACAGAATAGCTTGAGTGTTTTGTTTTGTTTTTTTTTAACTTGAGTATGAAATTATACAAAATGCAGCAAGATATTTTTAAAAAAAGTATTATTGATTAAAAAATACACTATCGGATTCATATCGGTATCGGACATAAAAAAGTGGTATCGTGCCATCTCTAGTAACTACTGGAATCGGATTGGCTCAACTCGACTAAATTTTTAGACTTTTCTATTAGGTGGTACTCAGTTGTAATAGAAAACGACTGAAACCACAGGTAGTGAAAAGGGGCTCTTCTTGTCATCAGTTTCTCTCAGCATTTCATCACACCTCTTGCACTCACTCTTTCTGACACACACTTGAAAAGCAGTTTGGCAGACTTCAGTTAGGTTAATAATTTCATGGATTTTTGTGGCACACTATATTTGTATATCTTCTAATTAGTTAAAGCAAATTTTCCAGAGGCAGCTGTATTTGAGGAATCATTGGAGTCTGGTGCTGAGTGCACAAAG